TTGGTTTTTACCATATTCATTCGATAAAGTAATGTGACTTGGTAAATGTTTACCCGTGTAAACGTTTGTTAAACGGCCCCTAAATACAAACTAAATGCACATTGAACTTGAAAGAAGCTTGTTTCTGATGGAATAATTAGCTTGATTCGTAAGACTTATCTGATAAAAATGTTGTATATATTTTATAAAAAATAACATCTGAAACGAATACAAAGACATTCATTTCTATATGTCGAATATCCAATCAGTTGATTCATTATTAAAGAAACAACTATTTCTTAGTATTCGATATTTCGATAATATCAAGATACATGAGTTGAAGGTTCTATTTGTATGTTGATGATGATTAGAATTTGAGCAAAGTGGAAGAGACGATCCGAAGAGCCTTTAAGAAATGTGTTTTGATTGTTTAAAACGAACTCAAAATATGATTTATGATGAAAACCACAACAATCAAGAAACAAATTGGTGTCACGTAAGCCAAGCATACAAATGTGACTGGCTTGTCAAATACATAATGTGACACACGCAGGCAATATAGTTTGACGCGTATCAGATAGGGGTGCTCAAAAACCCCACCAACCCAACCCAGCGTGAAATAACTCAACTCGAAGCAATCCGATGTCTAATTGAGTTGTAAAATATTCAAACCGTAGATATTGGTTGATATTAGATTATTATTATTTGAACCCAACCCGATATCCTTTTATTTCTTGGATTTAATATGGTTGTTGAATTTCTATTAATATACACGGTAAACAATTACACTATCATGTACGCTATTCATACACACACATTTTCAATCTATTCACGTCTCTATATAACTCATTCGTATATATGTGCAGTAACTGTGATATAAGTAAGAAGTATGGACAACTTGTATCAAATGGTTGATGATGGAAAAAAAAATTATGAGTAGAGACATAACATATTCAAGATTAGAAGAATATTTTGATGTATCAAAGTATCAACCGACCAACCCGTACAGGTTGGGTTGGGTTAAGATTTTTCAAACCAAAAGCATCAGATTGAATTGTTCAAATATATTCAACCTGATCAATCCAACCCATGAGCACCCGTAGTACCAGAAGTATGATGTCACATGCAAAACATGGTCTGTTTTGAACCACAACTCTAATTACCTTGTGTCTCGACTAGACTTTTGGCAATTTGATCCATTCAATCCGTGTTCAGAGGTTCTTATGTTAAAACACTAAAAAAACCTTCTAAAAAGTTGTGTCAAACACCTTTATTGTGGATGTTTTAACAATGACGGACCTATAGTAGAGCATACGATGGCACGTGCCACAATATTATTCTTTCGTCGAAGAGTAAAAAATTTAGGTTCGTGAAATGTGCAATCGTATTAATTTAATGTATTTCACATTATGTATTTTGAAACTACAATGAAAACAAATTTTATTTGATAGAGTTGGTTTACAAGGCTTTATTCCACCCCAGACCCAAGTCCGAATCTTGTTAGTGGCATTTTCTTAGTCAAATGGTATCACCATTTGAAAAAAAATTCTTATAGTCAAACGGTGTCACCATTTGAAACAATTTCTAGCCTGTGTTGTTAAGGATAAATTCTAAGAGAATGCAAGTATAAATATATATATATATATATATATATGTATGTATATATATATGTATGTATATGCGTAGAAGATGGAATGGAATGTGTGTTCCACTAGTCTTCAAGTACTTTTAAGTGTGTTTTTGTTTTATAATTAAAAGAGGAATGATATAAAAAGTGATTGGGAGTTTTGAATTTGACAATTAAGTGGGTTGGCACGTGACTTGTTGGGTGGGCAAATCTTGCCACGTGACGACTACTCTAGATCTACTTTTCTGAAAAAAGAAGTCAAGAATTTCACTTAATAATTTAATTCAAATAAAATTATTTAAAATGTGTTATAATTAATACTAAATAAAATAAAAAACCACTTGCAATTGTTGGGCATGAGTTTAAACATTACAAAATGCCACAATATTAACTGTTTTTTAATTGATCATATCTACATATTTAAGTTTGTATATGCATTAGTTTTAGTTTCTATTCATATTTTATTTTGTGGTTTATTGTTTGTAACATTTTTGATCCTATGGTTTAAAAATTATAGTTTCGCCATTGTTGTATGCTAAAACAACTGGATTTGGTCCTGTCTGTAACGGTCACTAGAAGAGACCGTTAAATCAGAGATATTTTACACTTTTTATACGTTTAGCACATTTTTCTTTAATAAGTAAATAAGTATGTAAATTATAGGGACCAAATATGCAATTTTCTATAGCATATTAAACTATATTAATTATATCATCCCACCACCACCTCCTCACCTATATCGTCTTTATGTGAGAGACCTACTTTAGTGATTACAAGTGACACGTGTCACAAAAGGGTAAAAAAAAGTATTCGTACAAAGTGTAACCGTATTAATCTGTTGTGTGTCATTATGTGTTTTGAAACTATAATGAGAACAAGTTTTATTTGGTAGAATTGGTTTGCAAGGCTTTTATTTCACCCCACACCCAAGTTTGAATCGTATTAGTGTCATTTTTTTAGTCAAATGTTGTCACTGATTGAAAAAAAAATTATGTATAAATGTTTCTTATAGTCAAACGGTGCCACCGTTTGAAAAAATTTCATTATAGTTTTTTCTTATAGTCAAATGGAGTCACCGTTTGAAAAAAATTCCGGATCCGTCCCTCGTCATAAGCACCAATGGTTACACAAGGTATAGTTACGATTGTTACACTCCCTCCTTCAATCTCTCTCTACAACCCAGGTCATGGTTAAACCCCCTCCTTCCCTCTCTCTCTAAAACTCCAACGATGTGTACACCTTAAAAAAAATCAAAACAATACCCTCGATTTGCAGTGGGTAAGTTGGTGTACAGCAACTAGAGGGTTAGGGTTTTAGGTTATTTTCATATTTCAGAAAATCGATCTATTTTTTGCTTCCAGTTCACTATTTTTCTGATTTATAGGATTTTTTGTTTAGGGTTTGAGACCATCGTCTTTTAATTTAGGTTTTCTGTTTGATTTTGAGGTCTGAGTTTGGAGTTGTGTTTGATTTTAAGGTCTAAGTTGGGTTTGATTTCGTTTTTAATTTGGAGGTTTGGATTTGATTTAGATTTTTGGTGGTGGATAATAGTGGGCGACGGTGGCGATAGCCGAAGGAGATGACCGGAGTTGGGCGATGGTGGTGGTTTGGTTGGAGGTGCGATCAAATTAATGATAAAAAAATATTAATAAAATAAATAGAAAAATGCCAAAAAAAAAAAAAAAAGTAAACTACAATTTTGGTCCTTGTAATTTTCTAATGGAGTAAAAGACAAAAGAATTGGTAAAAAGACTAAAATACCTCTGACTTAACGGGTTCTTCTAACGACCGCTAAAGCCAAGGAACAAATCCGGTCGTTTTTACATACCACAATGAAGAAACTGTATAGAACAATAAATTTGGTAGACCAAATTCGGTAGCTTACTCTTTATTTTCTTAAATTGTATGTTTATACACCATGGAATCATGCACACATAATATTGATTACTTGTTTTATCGTCTACTTGTATACATCTTGCGCGGTGCACAAGTCGGGTTCTTCACAATAACGACATCTAGATCCTAGTGGTTGAGATGCGTATATCTTACTTAGCTCAATCCCTACTTTCGAATGAGATTTTACTGGGTTCGGTTAATTTGGTCAAGTGAAATTAGTTAAAAATTGTCTGCTAAATTATTTTATTAAAAGAACTAGGCTATTAGTTTGATTTTATAGTGGCCATTGGATTAATTTGCGTCCAAAACCCAAATAAATTTGAATTAAATGGACTTCTAATTTAGGGTTATATCAGTCACCAATGCCAATGGGCTGGCCAGCCCAAGAATGAAGGGATTAGACATTTAACCCTCGTTTACCAAATGTTAACCATGTAATGGAACAACCTCTCTATCGTTAAGAGGTGAATCTTGTTTGGCATAAAAAATTCTGTCTTTTAATGGTTCCAAAATCCTCTAAATGATTTTGCATCCTGGACCTCCATTAACCATTCAATGCCCTAATCTCATTGTAAACAATTACCAAAAAAATTATATTTCATTTTGCACTATATCATGAGAATCTCTTAATCATTCAATACCAAACCATTCAGCAACTACCAAATAGCCCCTAATTGACTCACCAACCTTACTTAACCATGGTGACTTTTATCCATCCGGTAAGAAGTTGTGGTGACTGATATCCAATAAACGCTTACCCAATTAATTTTAGTGTGTTATCCACACCTGAATAAAATAATTTTACTTGTCATTTTTAATGGCCAATAATTATATCTGATAAGGTAATTAATGGTGATGACTCATATCCAATAAACGTTTACTTAGTTAGGATTGGTAAACGGCCTCTTATTCCGTAATGGATATTAGTATTGGGTTCATCAAACTATAACATCTAGTAAACAGATGGTTAAGTCACAGAACCCACCCATTTTCATTCAAGCTAAAAACACTTCCCTACACCATTTGTATTCACTTTAGTTTATTAGAGTGTACGCAAAGTAACACGATTCGGTTTCGATTCTAAAGTTAAGAATTTTGTACCCTCGATTATATTTCATGCTTCTATCATCTGTCTCTCTTAATTCTCTGTACGTGTTATAATAATTTCAAAACTTGAATTTTAAAATATTTATAATAAATATCATACTGACATGTAACACCAAACTCAAGACAACAAGTTTTTGTTTTCATTTCTCACACACACCTATCATACCCTAAAGGAATACCTATGAATAACAGTTGTAGGTCTTTCAAATCACTAAAATGTAACCTAACATCAATAACAATTATATATAAATCATAGTGTACAATTTTATTTTTATAATGCGGTTATTTTATGAAGGGGTTTGTGGGACAACGAGTTTTTGTTTTATTATGTTCTGTCGCACGATACCAAACATACCCTAAAGAAATAACCTACAGATAACAGTTATAAGCCTTTTGACTCACTAATCCGTAACCTAACATCAATAACAATTAGATGCAAACCATAGTGTACAATGTTATATTTACAATGGGGTTATTTTATGAAGCAGATCGGATAAAATAATCACCCGAGAACAAACAAAGTTACGTGAGACAAACGTAAGGAACATTTACCCGAACAGTTGCATATAATGTAGCATGATCTTTTTCCTCCTCGATAGTCTTTTACGTTCTCATCCATAATGCATCACTGATCACAAACGAAACGAGCATTAATTCATTTGAAAAGATAAGAGGGATTTAATACGATGAAAACGAGAAAAAATGTTTCATTTTACCGCAGGATAACAATCTTGCCGTTCAATTGTTTGATTGTGTGTGTTCATAAGGACATCACATGATAACTTGGCCTGTTCAACAGCATCAAGTGGTCATAACATTATCAGAAATAATACTTCCGAAATGGAATGTAAGATTGAAAATGAGCAGATATTCATGAAAACTGAAACAATGTTCTCTGCAATACACAACACATGTATGAATAATCAAACTAACAAGTTTTTTCAACAAAAAGATGTATATCAATGTTCTTCTAAGCTTTCAAAGTGTGCAAACAAAGTTAAACAAGAAACTAATTTAACCACTTCACCAGAATGCACAACCTTATAGTTGGAGTCTCACATCTGCTTAGACATGGATCATTTCTCCTCAAGGGCTCACTTCGAGAGTAACTTAAAGGGGTTCCATATTGTCACATAGTATCAGAGCCAATGTCTAGGGATTCGACACTCTCATGCAATCTGTATTTGTCTAATCCCTCACCCATCTAGCCCCCTCTCGACACTCCTAACAACATGGGCGTGTGGTGGAGTCCCTCATCGGCTAAATTTGGATCATTTCTCCTGCATATATCACTCCTCGATGACTCTTTTGGAATAGTGATCTAATGGGGTTCCACATATTCCCACTGTTATTGCCCTGTAGTTTCAACTACATTGTAAAAGATGAAGACTTTGGGATGCTAGGACAACCAATCAAAATCATGTATCATGTGACCACCTTGAATTCTAGTTTAAAATCTCTAGAAAAGAGACAGATATCAAGCAAGCAGAGCAACAAGAGCCAAACAAATGCACAAGCTTGTATGAGCTTGTATGGAGCAAGCACAGATCCAACGGGAATATACTGTCAAGTACAAAGATCATTGCAAACCCTTGGGAGCTAGAGACCAACGTAAACAAACAGCGTTCTGATCAGTAGGCTGACAACCAAACTTCAAATATCTAATAAGGAAGTCCTAGGCGGCAGACTAAATGCTCGGAGATAATGATCCAGTTGGCTCTATATGCACCAAAAAATCAACCAAAAGGAAAATACACATTTGTTATGGTACGTCACTTTGAAATAAACGAAACTCATAAACTACTAAGCTGATATAATTCCAAAACACCAATCAAATAGGAAAACTTGCACGTTTGAAAGAGGTGGCAATTCTCAGCATTAACAGGAATTAATAGCATAGAATTGCTTGTAAGATGATGCATTCAAGTACTATCGTATAGATTCAACAAAAATATATACATACCTTGATAGGAAAATTAAAGAACAGAATTCCAAGACTGCCGCGAATCTCCGATGTCGTAGTAAACGGAATCGAACCTTTCACCAGGTCTTCAATCAAAAAAATCGCCTCCTTGACAACTTCAGCTCCATCTAGAACAACCGTAGCATCGATGTTCGATGTACCAAATGCTTTCACCTTTCCATCATCCGATGTAACAAACCCTAGCTCTTCTCCCCTATATCCGACCGACACATTGAGAGATCGAAAATCGAGAGAGTAAACGTCAGGATTACGAACCTTAATTGTCACACCTAATGTAATATCAATAGAGATCTTAGGTGTCGCATGAATTTTCAGGCGATCGACACGGAGGTTGATGACTTTGAGGTAAGGATCAGATGGCCAGAGAAAGTATAGAGCGCCGGCGAGGAGGAGGACGGCGACGGCGTAAGAGACGTATCGACGGCATAATCGAGCACATCTGCGGTGGCCGGAGGGAGAGTAGAAGGGTAAAACGACGTAGTATTGAGCTGGTTGAGGAGTAGAAGGAAGGGGATCGTAGTAGGGGTAGTTGGTGGGGCGCGGTGGTTCGGATTTTCCGGACGCCATCTTTTTAGATGATAGTTGTGGCCACGTCTCTATATATTAAGTTTTTTATAACTTGTGCTCTTTTGGCCCTTCATGTTTCTATTAATTTAGTACTAGGACCTTCATCTTTATTCTAATTTACTAATAGGACCTTCATCTTTCTTTCAATTCACTACTAATCCCTCCATTCCAATTTCTGCATATATCATTGGAAACCAAAGGAATCCGGTTAATCCATCAAAAAACATGATAATAACTGTTTTCTTGAAAACCTACGGATTGGGTAAGATTGTAAGCGAAAGGAAAAGTAAAGGTTGATAAACATAATCAAATACATGATAAATATATTATTTTAAATATAAAAAATCTAAAATATAATTAGGATAATCATTGAATTCTAACAGAATACTTAATTATTATATTTATAAAGTGTTATATTATTAAACCAAAAATAAATTATTTGATTATTAAACTTAAATTAAATTATAATAAAAAAATAAATTAAAGAAATTACATAAAAAATGTGAACTTTTAAATATTTGATTTAATATTAACATTGATATATTTTTTCAAAATTTTATGATATCTTTAAATTTATATTTTATTCAAAAATAAAATCATTGTTGTTTTCTAAAAAACACATGAAATTGTATTATAACATCGACAAAGACAAATAATAAAATAGAACATTAAAATCGAAATGTGTTTCGCTGCATTGCGCGAGTACTCTTCTAGTTATATTATAAAGCATTTGATAAAAATTGTTAAAAATATTTTTTATACATGAAGTAATGTTTATCGATGCACATTACTTAAAATTCAATATTACAAGTAAATTGTACATAGGTACAACATATTAAAGCTCAACGCTTGAATTTGTGTAACTAACTGCAGATAAACATAATCAAATACAGAATAAACATTTCATTTGAAATATAAAAAATCTAAAATATAATTAAGATAATCATTGTATTCTAACAGAAAACTTAATTATTATTTTTATAAACAATTATATTACTAAATCAAATTTATATTTTATTAAAAAAAGATTATCAATTTGTAAAAACTACATAAAACCATATTATAACATCGACAAGGTACAGAATAAAACAAAACACTAAAATCGAGATGTATATCGCTTCATTACACGAGTACCCTTCTAGTTATCTTAAATGAGTTTTTAATTAAATTCATGACACCTTCGTTAACCTTAAATGGGATTTTAATTAGACCAATTACCTTCTAATCAGTATGGAGCTATTTTTCTTTTAATGTATCAGGAAGTCATGGAGTTAATTAAAATCTCATTAAATAACCAGTTCGATATTCTAACACAGTGTCCTTCGGAACAGATCCAATATGGGACCAGTTGGAGTTGTCGATAATCAACTTTTTACCTGAATAATAACCGGAACAAAATTCGTTACGGTTTGATTCACAACCAATAACTTCAATCATACAAATTCAATTAATAACATTTGCTTAAACATACAAGCAAATCATACAAACATGTAGTTTATGTTTACATTATGCCTCATGACAAACTTGTGTTCGAATATTGCGGCCTCGAGTGCGACTTCAAGTTTCTATACATATGCGAACAAGCTCGAGAAAATTCCGACATCGCCCGGAAAACCTCCGGCAAACCCGTCTTTAAATTCATCAAAGATTTATCCCTTACCTGAATACATTGCCTCTGGTACCCTTCTTCTTCTTCCTCCAACCGATGCTTCAACGCTTCCACCGTGATCTGCTGATCGGCAATCACATCCTTGTCGTTTTCCATATCATCCGACGTTCTTCTCTCTATATATTTGTTGTACCAATCTTCGAATTTCCGTTGTTTCCGTGTTAATTCCCTTCGTGTTTCTTCGCATCTTTCTTTCATCTTCATCTCGTCCGTTTGGTACTGAAATATGGTGTCCATGACGGCTGCAAAGTTGTGGATGGCGGTTCGAGCTCCTTCTTCCGGAAGCTTCTCGAGGAAATCGTGCCAGGTTCGGAGAAGGGATAGGATTGGTGGGTTTTGAGGTCGTTGGGGGGACGAGACTTTCTCTCGGAGGTTGTTGTCGATCGGGATAAGGTTGAGTTTTAGCCAATTGTTGAGAGATTTTACGTATTCTTTCTGGTGTAACATGAGTTTTTCGAACTGGCCATGCCACACCTCAACATAAACGTTAAGTTGTCGTGTGTTCTTGTAGTGGTGCTCGCTCGTTTCTTTTGGCGAATGGGAGATATCGAGTGATCTTAAGGCCTGCACGATCTTTGATTGGTTGTCGTGTTGAATTCTCATACTTTCCCACATTACGGCCATCCTGTATGCAAGTATATATATATATATATATATAGCACATCAGATTACTTCTCAAAAGAGCCATCGAGGAGAGAAAGGGGTTTCAACATATTGCGAAGAGAGAGTTTCCATGTCTGCCTAATATCGGAAGGGCCCGTTTGTTAGCAGCTTAAAGAGACTCGTAACTTATTCGGTCAGCTATACATGACTGTCTCGTAATGGCTTAATGATATAGAAAGAGGCTAAATGGTTAATTCAGTAAACTTTTAGGATGGAGCTTTATGTAGAAAGCCAAAAAATTTCCAAACCTACCCCTTCCAATTAAAGAACACACGCTCCTTCCATCTATAAAAAAACCCTTCCAAACAAAAATCTCTCCAATTTGTACAGACAGCTTTATCCATACAGCTTTATCCATGCGAATAAAGTTGTAATCTGTCTGTATAGATTAGGGAAGTTTTCATTTGGTATGGTTTTTTCATAGACGGAAGGAGCATGTTTTTTTAATAGGAGCTACGGGTTTGAAAGAAACTAGGCTGTCCGTATAAAGCTCCCCCTAGAAAAATAAGTCACTTTCTATATCATATTAAGCCACTACCAAACAATCATGTATAGCTGACCGAGTAAGCTGTGAGTCCCATTAAGCTCATTAAGTTGCTAACAAACAGACCCAATGGAAAACCAACCAAACAGCCTCTAAGAGCATCTACAACAGATTCGCCAAAATGAAGAAAACTGACTTTCTGTTTCTGGAGTTTTTAAGCGACTTTTTTGGTCCAACAGATTCTCCAAAACCTTTTCACAAATTTAGAAAAAGTAAGATCGATATAATATAAATCTCCAAATTTGGAGCTCTCTCTAAAATTAAATGCATAATTATTGTTTATGTTTCACCACTGAAGTTGAATATATTATTACTTCATATTAAATATATATAAAAATTTGTTGAGACATCAAATGTAAATATTTTAATAATATAATTAATACTGAAATCCCCAAAAATGGAGAAACTGTTGGAGTCGAATGTACTTTTCTTCAAGATTTTAACTTTTGCTTCGAGATTTGTAGAAATTATAGAGAACTTGTCAAAGATGTTATAACATGTCCCATCCAACAAAGGCTAGACAGACGAAATGTCCCCGAGTGTCAAGTCCTGGTCCAAGACATACGGGATTGTAGATTATGAATCTAATACCATGTTAGATATGTGGAACCCAACATATTACTCTCCAAAAGAGCCTTTCAGGAAAGAAGAGGGGTTCCAACATATATTGAATAAAAAAACTGTCTAAATCTAGCCGATGTGGGACTCTTAACACAAAAATTCATTTTGAAGACGAATTATTCACAAATTGGAAACTTACCCTTCAACGAGCTGAACGAGTTTTGGGTACAATTGTTCATCACGAAGCCGATTGATTTCTGAAACGGTGGAATCCATTGATTGCATATCTACGATGTATCTTGTGTGCAAATGACTTACGGTTGCTTTTGTCCGCTCCAAATGATCGGTGCTGGCACCGCGTTTCTTGAGTTTGTTTAGTGAAGCAATCTTTTTCTGGTACTCCAATTTCATCAGTTCACCTGCCTGTTGATCATCAATCAATGTGTTCAGCAACCAAGACTCTCACGTAAAGTAGCTGAAAAGCTAGCAGTTAGCTGATAAACTATTCATGTTTGGTAAAAACTAGACTTGGATGAAAATGTAAAATAACCTACAAAAAAATGCTGGAAAACCGATTAGAAAATTTTATAGACATAATTGGAACAAACTGGAAGAAAAAAACCCTGGAGCTTATTGAAATGTTACCTGAAGTAGCTTTTTCAAAAAACTTTGCTTATGGCTGAACAAAAGGGTTTTTTTCGAAAAGCTCAAAAAATAAGTTAGCTTATTGCCAAAAATGACTATATACAAACAACTTACAACAACGAGATATCTGTAATTAAGAAATGCAGATCAATAATAGCATTGTGGCCAACAACCCCTAAGACAAAGGCCGAAGAAAACATTAAGGTTTTCAGCAACCTATTCAATTTTTTTCATCGACTTCTGCTAGCTTATTTTTTGAACTAAATGAAAAAACCCAGTTCGATTAGCCATAAACTAGCTTATTGAAACGCTATTTTACTTACGGCTGTTTGGTTGGTTTTTCAGTCCTATATAGATAAAGTTGTCTGTATGAATTAATTTATCTATATAGATTGGAAAGGTTTTTATTTGGGGGGGTTTTCCATAGATGGAATGAGCATGTTTTTTAATTGAGAAAGCAAATTTGGAAAGAAAAAAAACTTGGCTTTCTGCAGTAAGCTCCCCCCAAGAAGCTTAGTGAATAAGCCACTTTCTATATCATTAAGCCACTACCAGACAGTCATGTATAGTTGACCAAATAATCTGAGTCCCATTACACTCATTAAGCTGCTAACAAACAGGTCCTTACATAAATTAGCGTCTCAATAAGCTCCGGAGGCTTTTTCCACTTTTTCCATCATGTACTTCTAGGTCATTTTACATTATCATCTAGCTTATCAACTAGTTTTTACCAAATATGACCAGCTTATCAGCTAACGGCTTAACAACAACTAGTTTGCCGAACATAGCCTTATACCGACACTCCAACTAGGTATCAACAATTTAAAAACGTCAATGTAACAGCATTTAATGGAGATTAAAACATCATTCCCGGACCACTAAACAGCTTTAGATCGATAAATTCATTAGTGCATCGACGTACCTTCACTTCGTCATATAGCTTCTTCTCCCACGCTAGCATCTTATCCAACACTGTAGCATGGGTTTCGTTCTCTTCGGAATCGAAGTCATCCTTATCATCAGTGGCCTCGGGGAATCCTTTAAACGACCTATTCCAGGTAATAACACGCATGACTCTTGCAGAATGATCTATATGACCTATAATCGAACATCCCGTTCATAGATATCAGTCAAAGAAAACAAATCAAGATTTTAAATTCACATATGAGTAGTGCCACAAAGTTCTGAATCAAGGGTTATAGGTAAAACTGAAAGTACTTCATCAAACAGTTAGACCATCGTTCTTTATATTGCGTAAAGCCAATGTAATTGTTTTGTTGGTGATTTTAGTGTCGTCAAACATTTTTGGTGTAATTGTGATTTATAAGGGATCCACCAGGTGATAAGGCAAACATAATGTGAGTCGGGAAGGGCGGAGTCATCAGGCAGGGTCAAGGGGGCGCATGCAGGGTCCTAGGGTGCAAGGGGAAGAAAGTTAGAAACTTGGTGGTTTTTTAGACTAAGGGGCTGTTTGCTTGTTTGGTTGGTCTTTCATCAAATCCTGTATGAATAAAGTTGTCTGTGTGGATTAATCTATCTGTGTTTTTGTTTGAAAAGTTTTGCATAGATAGTATGAGCTTGTTTTTTAACTGGGAGGGGCATGCTTGGGAAAAAAAACTTGGCTTTATGCATAAAACTTCCCCCTAAAAGCTTATTGAATAAGCCACTTTCTATATCTTAAGCCACTACCAAATAGTCATTTATAGCTGACCGAATAAGCTGTAAGTCTCATTAAGCTTCTAACAAATTGACTCCATGTATGGAATCAAGAGCCTCTGCATCAGAAGCTTCTGATTGAGAGTGTTCTGACTCAGAGCTTCTGACTCAGGTTCTAATCCATTTCAACTTTATCCACAAGCTCTGAGTCAGGTTCTAATCCATTTCAACTTTATCCACAAGCGGTTATAACTATTCTGCAGTATCTATTAACTGCTTAACTAGCCTCTAACCATCGATCTCTCCTATAAATATATAAAACCGTTAATCTAGTGTATATATACTCAGTTTTCTGCCTAAGAACAAGAGTGACTTCTTGGATTATCCCAATATTTGATCTCGTGAAACCTAAGGCATTCAGAGTCAAAATATAATATTTGGAAATTGCAATATATACACGATCCAAGAACTATCCAAGTGGCTGTAACCACGAAATCCAGATTCTCAACAACATTCACAGTTAGTTTTATTAGCTTTCACCAATTTAAAATCATTGAAACATTTTTCAAGAGCATGAAATTATGAGGCTTGAAAATGGAGGTAATCTCATTTGGTTGGTACTTGATTTGGGAGGAGTACATCGTTCTTAAATCTATCATAAGGTCATGCATTTATTGACATTTATGTGTGTGTAGAGGGAGATTCAGGGGAAAGCCCAAAAAGAACGAAAAAATGAGGAACACTCATGGTAACCACTTATTTGTACGATATGCACATGTGCTTACAAGTAGTTGAAGCTCTTTATTGGTTTTTATGTGGGCATGTTATGCACATGTGCATACTGGACAAATTCCTTACAAATTACTTGTATGAACATGTGCATGCCGCCCGGATGAATGGTTATCAAAGTATTCCTCAGTTTTTTTTCATTTTTTGGTGGTTTTCTGCGGAACCTCACCCTATGTGTATATGTATAAATACATAGGTTCAAGAGAAAACCCCTGAACAAATAAAATTGAGGAACACCTTGGTAACCATTTAATTTATATACGATATGCACATTTGCATAAAGTACGGAAGCCGTTTCTTGGTTTCTATGAATGTGTGAATGTTATTCACTTGTGCATATCTAACAAATTCTTTACAATTTACTTGTATGCATATTTACATACAGCCAGATGAATGGTTGTTTCTTTTTCATTTTAGTGGTTTTATCCTGAACATCACCCTATAGGTGTGTGTATATATATGTAAGAATGTTATACCTCGATTATCTGCAAAATTAGAGTGGTAATGCAATCTATTGGCCTCAAGCATCTTTGAAACTTCATTGGCACTCTCTGAAGCTTTCAGAAAGAAATCATCAAGCTGGGTAAATATCTGCAAAAGGTTCAGACTCTGTCCACCTCCCTTCCCGGATGATCTCCTGACTTCTGCCGGAGCTGGAACCGGAACCCTCGCCTTCTTTACAACTTTAGGTGGCGGCGGCGGAGGCTCCTCCACCACTTCCGCCGCCACATCCTCAACCCCCTTATCGCCACCGTCGCCACTTCTACCATCGCCGTCGCCATGACCATCCATGTGCTTATGATTCATAGACCGGTGTTTCTCCTTCTCCTCCTCCTCCATCTCTTTCCGATGGATCTCTTCTCTCTCGAATCTTCTACTCCCGTTGTCGACTTCAGCCAAACTAGGTCCAATGACGTTCTCCATCGACGGAAAAAAGAAGTCCCATGACATTACGTTAGGCAGAGGTGGTGGCGATGCAGCACGATTGAGATTACTCTCACTCTGCCGCGGTGCTGGCTGCGGTGGAGACGGCGGAGGCAAATCCTCTTTTTCCATTTCTCGTTTCGAACCAACATTTCTACCTCTAGAACTACTCCGATGCTTTAAACCACGATCATCAATTTCATCAACTTCGTCCCCTTCTTCCTTGATCGGGTCAGGATGCGACTTGAATTCCGGTTCAATTGAGAATTCCGGCATAGTCGCGGCTCGTTCGAGCGGCGGTGGTGGAGGTGGAAGGAGGGATTCGTATGGTGGTTGTGGTGGTGCCGGAGGGAGAATGGTTGTCGATGATGAAACTGCGTCGACAGATGACGGATGGTGGTTGTCAGGGAATTGAACCTCACCTTGAGCGTAGTCACTGAGTGCAGCGCCGGTGTTCTTCAGGGCAGCGGCGTAGGAGAAGTGCGCGGCGGCGAACGCGTTCCGGGAAGATACTGATTCTTTCATCACCGTCTTCCTTTCCTTGCATCGATTCACTATTTCTTCATTCTCGATCTTCGATTGAGTACAGCCCATCGCTGCTACGATCCGATTGATCTTCAAAAGTCAATTTCTTAGCAGAAATTTTTCACAAATTTACAGTAAAATTCGAGTGGTTTGCAGGGAAGAATGGAGTGATGATTTGGGGATACTGAGAAAGGCCAACTTCCATGTAGATAGTCAGAAACGACGACGCATTGCTATACCGACAAACACCGGAAAGTTCTATGCACAGGGTTAGTAAAGTCAAATGAATGCTGCGTGTTTCCACTTTAGACCCTAAAGTTTTAAAATTTATGATTCCACCACTATAACTTTTTGTTTTATAGTCATTCCTAAAGTTAACGTTATATTCCTTTATGATGCGTTTAGTACAGTTAACAAGACGGAAAAGAACAAAACACACTGTTCTATGTTTTTTTTTATTAACCTGGATATTCAACCCGCTATGCGAGCCGACTAATCCCAAAGCGACCACCTGCTTTGCAGATAGCCCGAAGTCAACGCATTTGAACCTCTGTGACCACAAGGAGATTTATATTCCTTCTTGGATTTGAACTTGGGACCTCCTAGTTTAAGGTTACTTTATATGGAACAAATAGAAACTAACAAGAATACGCATGTTCCACTCCACCCCATGGAACAAGATGGAACAAGGTCATTTTACCAATATGCCCTTGAAAAAACCTAAACCTAACGCACTTTCATTAGATTTTCATGTCTCCTCCTATCGTCTTCACTGGATGCATGCTTCTCATCAGATCAATTTCTCCATATCGATCGATTCTGGATTTCCACATAAATAAACCTTGTCGAAAATCTGATAATCTTTAAATTTTTAATAGTATTTAATAAAATCATGTCGAAGATGTATTACTTCGTAAGGAACCAAGCTCGGTAATTAAATAAGGAGGTTATGGGAGTGGGAATTAAAAATTAGAACGTTGGATATTTAGAGATGCATGAAAGGGTCGTGATCTGAATTGGAGCCGAGCCTAATCGAAGAAAACAGTTTTTCAAGGACTGAAAACAGACATGTCCTCTCCTTGTGACTTCAAACGGTTTTTGTATAATGAGATTTGATTGGTTAAGCATTGATTATAAGAAGAAAAAAAAGATCGTCAGCTGCTGATTTTGTCAAAACCTAGACAACACCCAGTTTTTAAAAATTGAGTGACTTGTTGCTGCTTCGTTAGATTTTGGAAAACAATTGAAGGTATTCACAAAAACGGGCACCGGGTCAAAGATGGATCAGGGTCGTCATTCCCTGCTTGGTCTTAGCTTTCAGCTTAAGAAACTAAGGGCCCATTTACCAAACGTTTACTCGGGTAAACGTTTACCAAGTCATATTACCTCATCATATGAATATGGTAAGGACCAAGAATCTTACCTGATAAGAGCGAGACAAGGCCCAATAGTCTTACCCGGTAAGTGAGGGTGACGACTCTTACCATGGTAAGCACTTACCAGGTAAATTGTTGCATGCAATGTCGTTTTGGTGGACTAAAATCTTACCCGGTAAGTATATAATAATGTTGAATTTTATTGGTAAGCACTCACCGGGTAGGTATTTGGTAAACGGCCCCTAACTTTTCTGACTTATTGTACTGAACCCAAAAGGACTACACTGTTTCTTGGTCAACTCAATGTAAACATACGTTATGACTTTAGACTTTTATGAATGTTTATGGAACTTTATGTAGATATTTGAGGTAAAATTGATTGCATTAAATTTTGTTGCCATTATTAGAGTATATGAAATATAAATTTCATCAAAAAAAAACACCTTTAATTTTTTTTCAAATATTAGTAGTAAGTTAGAATAACTTTTAACTAATGAGCTGTTTACCAAACGTTTACTCAGGTAAGTGAATATCAAGTCACATTATTTTACCGGATGAATATGTAAGGACCAATAATCTTACCCGGTAAGAACGAGACAATGACCAAGAGTTTTACTTGGTAAGTGAGGGCGACGACTCTTACCACGGTAAACACTTACCAGCTAAATTGATGCATATGAAGGGAAAACCAACGGGGAAAAAAAAGAATTTTTACTCTTAACAAGTTCCCCAACGAAGATCGGAGAAACTGTGGGGATCCCCGACAGGGATTGGGACGGTCTTAGTTATCGGTTTCGGGGATGGAGATATCAATAACCGGCCCGAACTCAGGCCGTTGCCATTCCTACTTCCAAACACTTGACCTTTAGAGTCTAAACTCAAACCAATCAGACACCAGCCTTATGATTAACAACAACACAATTTATGTACAATAATCCATGGATATGTTTAAACATGTAGAGTCTCATCATTCGATAGAAGAATCATTTAGGTGGTTACACCTAATTTTGTATTAATAACACATTTTCATGTGAATATATAGAATGAAATACAAATCATAATGAATCATAATTTAAGAATCTTTAGTTAGAGGTATTAAACAGTAATCAATGCGAATAAAAATAAAAGAAACTGTTTGGTTTTCTGTAATATAATGAGATCATTCCCCCAGAAGACCAAAATTTCATTCCTGGTTAAACCAGAGGGAATAAAAATTCATTCTTATTTTCATTCCCTATCATTTTCATTTTCATTTTTATTTTAATTTCTCAGTATTTTATGAGAAAGAAATGTGTGTTGTATTGAAAAGAAACTGAGACATGTTTGGTCCCTACCACTCTTTTATAGTAAGCAAAGTGGCTTTATAAAAGGCATGCTAACAATTCCTTTGTGTCCCATGTGAGAAGATGCTTTGCTTGGTGGTAGCAAAATGTGTCCCACCTTAAAAGTGTTTTTAATAGTTATAAATCAATGGTTATCTGGTATACTTTATGTAAAAAATCAGTTTTTAACTCTTGTTAATTATACTGGTTTGATACGAAGCTTTACACAAATCGTGTAGAAAAAAGCAAACCGAAAAATGATATCATGGTGTACAAAAATGATGTCTCGTAAAAACCAGATACATGATAGAATTAATTGTAAATTTGGTTTATCTGGTTTCGAAAAATTGACGAGTAAGGTTTATGAAAAAGATTTAGGGAGTGTTTGGTTCGCTTTAAGGAATGAAAATGAGATTGGTAATTTTTTTTAATTAACTTGGATATCCAACTCGGTATGCGAGCCGACTAATCCCAGTGCGACCACCTGTTTTGCAGATAGCCCGGAGTTATCGCATTTGAACCTCCGTAACCATAAGGGGATTTTTTTTCCTCCATGAATTTGAACCTGAGACCTCCTGGTACTTTTGACCTTTGGAGCCAAACTCAAACCAATCAGGCACCACCCTTGTGGTTAAGGTAGAATGATAATCATTATTTTTATTCCATTCTGTTATATTACTAGAGATTCCTTAAAATTAATTAATAATAAAAACAAAAAGGAAATTTGATAGCCACATAATCCATTGCATTATATCATATTTCCAATGCAGATCTTGACAGACGAGAAGGAGTGAGAAGCAAAATTAAAAGAATTTTTTTTATTCCCCCAAATTGAGGAGGAATGATTTTTAACCAAATCTATTATAATGACTGATTAATTTTTTGAAACCAAACATCATTTTTCATTCATTAATTGAACCAAACATAATCAATGACTGTGTGGTTTCATTTTTATTAAAAAATGTGATTCCCTCTAACAATATTGTCAATTATAGTGTCGTTTGTGAGGGTAATTTCGTCCTTTAACCCTTCACATACAATTACTTTTGTTTTGATAAGAAAGTCGATACCTCCTTTTGATCAATAACAATTTGGTGTGAGGAACATGTATCATAAGATATAAAGTTTTAAACATTTAAGTATTCGGGTAACCGGTTATCATGTTGATGTGGTATTTAACTCAATATCATTTACTGACATGGTTATTGACATAGAATTTTTTTAATCTAAAAGTAGTCTTTTTCTTAATCTAAAATTAGTATTCAACTGGTTACCCGGATATTTAAATGTTCAAAACTTTATATTTTAAGTAGCAAAATAAAAAATTTGAAAGTACGTTACCCAAAATAGGAATCAAGTTAAAGTACGTTTTTTTTTAATGCAATTTTCCCAAATAAAAACGAGAGTGACCATTACCATACCTAGTGAAGTCTAGGGACGTTGTTTGTGGATAAGTGTAAACCACAGGGACCAAAAGTGTAGTTTACTCTAAAACAAGGCCATCTTTACTTTCCCAAAACCATCCAAGCGGGAGCTGTTTAGGGGTTAGGTTCTCTCGTTTTGTTTTACCGATTCGCGTATACTCTCTACGGATCAGAGCAAACCCTAACCCTAGATTTGGATCATGTCGTCCAAGCAAGGTGCTCCACAATAGTTCTCCTTTGGCTGTTCCTTTGGAAATCAACTATCGATTTTGTTAAAATACTGTCAATTTCTGTTATTATTGAAATTTCTGAACAATTTGTTCGTGTTGAGCAGGTGGAAAAGCGAAGCCATTGAAGCAACCAAAAGCTGAAAAGAAGGAGTACGACGAGGTATTCTTCATCATCTCGATTAAATCACCGTCTCCTATGTCTCTTTAGTTCGTAATTCTGTACTTTATCTTTATTTTTCTATTGTTTTAAAATCTATATATATAGTTGGATCAGACAACATGTTGGTTGATTTCTATTATTCCTTATGTTATATGTGTTTTTTTGTGTTATCGTGCTCTGCTGGTTACGTAGTCAATTTTGCTGCTTAAGCTTGTAGACTAGTCTCAACTATATAGCAATCGTAGGATGTTTCAAAGTCTTATCTTTCGTTAAGCCCAATTGATTTAATAGATAAGGATCATGCGTAACAGCATAAGCAAATTTGTAGCTGCCATCAAATCATAATTTATGTTTTGTGTGTTTTATGTGTTATTGTGCTCTGCTGGTTGCGTTAAGATGGTCAATTTTGGTGCATAAGTTGCAGGCTAGTCTTAAAATATTTAGCAATTATATGATGTTTCAAAGTCGTTTCTTTCATTAAGCTCAATAAATTTAGTAGAAAAGGATCATGTGTAAGCAAATTTGTAGCTGCCATCAAAACATAATTTATGTTTTATGTGCTATCGTGCTCTGCTGGTTATGTTATGATAGTCAATTTTGCTGCTTAAGTTGTAGGCTAGTCTTAAATATTGAGCAATCATATGATGCTTCAAAGTCTTCTCTTTTGCTGAGTGCAACAAATTTAATAGATCATGCATAAGCAAATTTGTAGCTGCCTTCATAATCATAATTTCTTTTTGTATTAAAGCTTATGTGCATCCCCTCTCCTTTGTATTCTTTCTACCAAGAAAAAGTTAAAACAATGATGTGTGATGGTCGATGTGGTGGTTGCCATATATTTGCTCTTATGGAATGGTAGGACTGATCCATTTCGATTGGCATGGGAGTCCAACTATGTTGTATTGCCAGAATCCATGTTATAAACTCGATACAAAGCACAAATTCCGCAAATAGGAGACGTTTTAAAGCTTGGTCAGGAGCCTCTCTTATGGGGTTGACTTGCACATTGTTCCACACTGTCTAGTTGAAAGTTGAAACCAAAGACAACATGTTTGATTCATGTTGTATGAATGCATATTGGGAGGACTTCTACATCAAATTGATACCTAAAATTGTCTAGCAGATTTGAAAGAAGAAACTACTAGCTCGCTGAGATTAAGATCAAACATACTGAGATAGGAACCTAAAACTAAACTGTTTTTTGGAAGGTTTGGAGAGAGTTGGATTCTCGTGAGAAATCTCATTTTCCGTGAGAAGTGTAAACTTAAATGTGAAGGTGACTGCCTTCACAAAAACCGGTGAAGGTACACATTCAGGTCCTGTAACCTTTATGACCTTCACAAAGTTTTAAACAAGATTTTCTTGAAATGTTATTATTGAAAAAAACTATCTACCTGATGAACTTAAGCATACCGAGCAAAACTGACCTGCTTTAGAACACAGGGTTAGCACATAGATAGCCGCCAAGTTGTGCATTCCTTTCATTCCAATTGAACAGATTTACCTTTTTTCTTGCAGATGGATAAGGCAAACCTTCAAAAGAAGAAGGAAGAGGAAAAGGTGGGTATCTTTTTCTCCTCGTATTTATCACAAATCGCGATGCCTAAATTTAGGTTGCTAAATTTATGACATGAATTATGGGCAGGCACTGAAGGAGCTTAGAGCCAAAGCGCAAAAGGGAGCATTGGGAGGTGCTGGTCTCAAGAAAAGTGGTAAGAAATGAGGTAAAAGTTATTACATATTGTATGTCATAAATGAATGATGATGTTCTTAATGTGTTTGCATCAAGTCTTTTGTGATTGTTCTTGTGTAAAACTCAAGAGGAACAATCATACTGGCTGCCATTTGGTATTGTTGTTTTCTGGGGTGTACTGATTTTATATGGAAGTTATTAGTAATGGTTTATCGTTTATGGTTTGTAAGGTTGTTAACGGGTTGAATCTTTATTTAGATATGATATTGTCCGATCCATTGTAATTTTGTACTTAGGGGCCGTTTACCAAACGCTTACCTGGTAAGCGCTTACTGGTAAAATTTAACACTATCATTTACTTACATGGTAAGATTTTAGTCCACCAAAACGGTGTCGTATGCAACGATGTACCCGGTAAGCGCTTACCGTGGTAAGAGTCGTCACCCTCACTTACCGGGTAAGACTCTTGGTCCTTGACATATTCATCCGGTAAGATAATGTGAGTTGGTGTTCACTTACCCGAGTAAGCGTTTGGTAAAGGGCCCCTAAATGTTTACTGGGTCTCTATACCTTGCCGATGAACATGGCAAGAATCGGTAATCTTACTCGGTAAGAGCGATCGGAGCGATGACTAGAAACCAAGAGTGCTAATCCGGTAAGTGAGGGTGATGACTCTTATTATCTGATTATCTCTTACTAGATGAATTGTTGCATATGATGTTTTAACGAATTAGAATCTTACCCAGTAAGGTAAGTGGGAGTCTTGACTTTTACTAGTAGCGGTCATCGGGTAAGCGTTTATGTATAACGCCCCTAAATTACTTGATACTTTTTGCATAAAGTAGGGTCCGAGGGGGTGTGGTGCATATAGACTTTATTTTTACTCAAATAATAGAGATTGTTTTAGTGAGAAAAAGGTGTTTTCAAAAAGATTTTGGTAAAGAAACAAGTTCCCATTTGGTTTTCAGGCATCAAAAGGATTTGGATTTTAAAGCCATTTCAATCTCATGTTTGATTTGTTGGATTGTTGTGATTTGAAATCCTATAATTTAATTAGAATCATACAAACATAGGGTTTTGAAATCCTTAGGGAGTGTTTGGGATTTTGCAAGATTGTATGAAATAAGGTTTAAAAACATTTATTTTGTAATAATTGATTAATAAAAAATATTTTAATTATTTATAATTCTTTTAAATAATTAATGGAATCTAATTCCATTCCAAATCCTATACACCAATGATTTCAATTCAAATTTCTATGAGTTCAAATCTCTTCATGAAATCCAAGTCTCTCAAAAATAATCCTGCAAATCAAACAAACGACGAGTGTTTGAAAATTTTTTGAAGAAAAAGAAAAGTATGGAGGAACTCGAAGACGGAAGATGAACTACAATATATTCTTTTGAATCAAGTCGTTAAACTATTTTTTAACGAATAAATTCTTCAATTTTATGCAATTGGACAAATAAATCCTTAAATTTATTGAAACTCAGAAACACAACGAACTTTTATATTTTGAGCGATTAAATCTCTTAACATTTTTTTTTAAATAAACAACTTATAGAACTAAAGCGATATATATATATCTATGTATCTGGATCAGTAATAAAGTACAATGATCTAATAAAAATTGATTAAATATCATATTCATTATTTATTTTTCTAATTCAAATGGGAATCATAAGAAAATCTAATAATTATTTATTTTTTAAAAATAACAATGATATGATCGTAACAGACACTTGTTATTGCCAGTTAAATTTGAAAATAAACAAGGGTTCATAAAAAGTGTTTTTTTTGTTTTTTTTTTTAATAACATACATTAACAAATAGTATTTCATACATGAAAAAAAAAGGTTATAAAAATTTCTATCAAATACTTTATAATATAATATAAATAATTAATCTTGTATTCTCCATTTTATAGAAATTTTTATATTTTGTCTTGTTTATCATAGCTATGCTTTTCGATCTTGTCACCATCATGTGAAAATCGTATATTTGGTCAATAACTTTTGACAATGATATCCAATTCTCCATCAATATTTCCAAATCCATATATGGTTTAAGGTCTTCAAGTCCGTTTCAGGTTGGGGAATAAAAATATCAAAGAATAAATTGTATGAAAAAGTAAAATATTTTAACTTAATTTCTATTTTGAGTAACATTCCTTCAAAATTTTCATTTTGGTACCTAAATTTTAAACATTTAAATACCCATGTAACCAGTTGAATACTAATTTTAGATTAAGAAAAATCCATATCACTAACCACATCAATAAATAATACTGAGTTGGATACATATTACTCGCCACATCGACATGATAACTAGTTACCGAATACTTAAATATTTAAAAATTTACATCTTAGTCACCAAAATGAAAGGTCTGAAAATATGTTAGTTAAAATAGAAATCAAGTTAAAATACGTTATTTTTTTATACAATTTATCCAAATATCAAATGACAAAAAACAAAAATATTTTTTCATCCCCCCATTTAACCGAAAATAAAAATTTATACTTTGAAAAAGTAGCCCATTATATAAGAAAATCAAACAGTTTATTTTGTTACTAGAAGTGTACTCGCGCAATGCAGCGAGATACATCGTGATTTTAATATTTCATTTTATTCTTTATCTCAGTCGATGTTATAATATGACTTTATGTGATTTTGAGAAAGAAGTGATGTTTTTATTTTTGAATAAAATATATGTTTGAAGATATTATAAAAATTTGACAAAAATATATCGATATTAGTATCAAATTAACTATTTGAAATTCCTCATTTTTTGTGTAATTTTTTAATTCAATTTTTTTATAATTT